AACAACAACAACAACTCCAGCCTAAGGAATCTGTACTGACAAGCAGGTTACATATTGCAGTGCTAACTGAAAGGTCAACAGTTCAAATCCACTATCGGCTTTTCAGAAAAAATAAGCTGTCTGCTCTGACAGCCTGAAAAGCTTGATGAAGGGTCCCTGTAAGTCAGAACAGACGTCACAGAAGTGTGCTGGATTTGGTTTTGGTTTATTGCAGTCTAAGTACATGTTTTGTAAACCGTTTGCAGTTTAGTTAGACCTTTTTTCCCCTTTTAAACAGTATAGTGCATGGTCTCTCTTGGCAGATATTCCATATGCAGTTGTGAAAAATGTTTCTTTTGAAGGGCTTTGTGGTTTTCTAAAAGAAATATTTCAAGTTAAAATTAGTTGATAATGTTGTATGGATAGTCTATACTATGGTTAGCTGACTTAAGCATGTACACAAAATCTTGCCTATGGTCCATCTTTAAGCAGCCCTCAAACAAAAAATAGTGTTTGCATACTTACAATTTGCAATGTGTCTGGGCACATGTTATGGTTAATATTGTGATCATGATACTCAATATAACTATACGGGGTGGTATAAATACTACATTGTCCAAACAGAGCAAAAAACACTACATGGTTTAAAATCAAGAAAAGTGTGCTTTAGGGTTATATCTTTTATTCATATCTGTTCAATCTGAATGTTGAACAAATGACTAGAGAAGTTGAAATTTATGAAGAACAATATGGTATCAGGGTCAGAGAAATACTCATCAATAACCTGTGTTGTACATATGACACAACCTTGCTTGCTGAAAGTGAGGAGGACTTGAAGCACTTGCTGCAGAAGATTAAAAACTATAGTCTTTAATATGAATTATATCTCAACATTAAGAACGCATAGGTCCTCATCATTGGACCAATAAGCATCATCATGATAGATAGAGAAAAGATGGAAGTTGTCAACTTTTATCCACAAATCAACACGCTTGGTACCATCAGTCAAAAATCCAAAGACTCATTGCACTGGGAGAGTTTGTTGTCAGGGACCGCTCCAAGGTACTGACAAGCAATGATGTCAGCTAAAAGACTATTGGAGTGACTCATTCCAGCCATGGTATCTCTCTCTCTTTTTTTTTTTTTGTAAAAAGTAGAGAGATTTATCAAAAAGTTATATCCCGAAGTGATGGACGTCCCTCCTTGTAGGGAAATACAAATGAAAGTCAGTGTGCTAGTGAGGTTAGTGAGGTAAGGTCATTTTTATGTCTTTTTAATCACCTGGTGCATCAGAAAGTTGGACAATGCATAAAGACGCATCAGTGCCTTTAATTTGTGTTATTGGAGAAGATTATTGAATGGCCCATGGACTGCCAAAAGAACAAGTAGCTAGATCTTGGAAAAAATGCAGCCAGAATACTCCTTAGAGGCAAGTGTGGTAAAGCTTCACTTCACATACTTTGGGCATGTTGTTAGAGAGGCTATTTTTTGGTAAAGGACTTCATGCTTAGAAAGGTGAAAGAAAGGAAGACCTTCAAAGAAATGATTGACGCAGTGAGTGCAGCAGTGGGCTAGAGCGTGTCGAGATGTCAGGACAGGGCTCAGATCTAAGGTCATTATGAATCATACTCAATTTGATGCCATGTGATAATAATGATGATGATAGCACCAGAGACATAATTACTGATGTCAGATGGATCCTGGATAAAAGCAAAAAATACCAGAAGAATGTCTGTTTGTGTTTTATTTTACTATACAAAGGCATTTGACTCTATGGAATATAACAGATTATGGATAGCACTGAGAAGAATGGGAATCTCAGAACACTTAATTGTGCTCATGTGAAACCCACACCTGTATCAGGAGACTGGTGTGCAAGCAGAGCAGAACAGTACATGGCTTAAAATTGAGAAAGGTGTGTGTCAGGGTTATATCTTTTCTCCATACCTATTCAGTCTGTATGCTGAACAAATTATTTGAGAAGGTTGACTTTATGTAAAGAAGAATGTGGCATCAAGATTGAAAGGAAACTCATCATTAATCTTTGGTATGCAGATAATAAACCTTACTTGCTCAAAGTGAGGACTTGAAACACTTGCTGTGGAAGATCAAACGCTGCAGCCTTCAATATGGATTGCATTTTAATGTCAAGGAAACAAAATTTTTACCACTAGACTGATGGGTGATTTTGTCATGATGGAGAAAAGATTGAAACTGTCAATGACTTCATCTTATTTGGATCCACAATTAATACACTTGGTACCAACAGTTAGAAGATCAGGAGATATATTGTTCTGGGAAAGTCTTCAGTCAGGGAACTCTCCAAATTATTGAGGAGCAATGATGTTAGTTTGAAGACTAAAGTATATCAGAGATATCATTGCTGATATCTTTTCAATCATTTGCTATGCTACTGATAGCTGGACAATGAATAAGAATGACAAAAACAAATTTATGCATTTCAACTGTGGTGTTGGAGAAGAGTACTAAATATACCCTGGTCTGCCAAAAGAACAGATATGTCTTAAAGAAGATGCAGCCAGAGTGCTTCTTGAAAGAAAAAGATGATAAAGCTTTATCTCATATACTTTAGGCATGTCGTTAAAAGAGCCTCTTCCTTAGAGAAGAACATCATGCTTGGGAAGTTGGATGGATGGTGAAAGAAAGGAAGACCCTCAGCAGGTGGATTGACAGAGTGCTGCAAGAATGGACTCGAGTGTTTCAAAGATTGTGAGGCTGGCTCAGCACAGGATTCAGATCTGTTGTTCATAGGGTCACTATGAGTCATACTCAGCAGTGCCTAACAACAACAACAATATCATTAATATCACATGCTAAATATCATAGCTAGTAAAATCTTACTGGGATTAAAAACAGCTTAGAGGAATCAAGATGCAGGAGTATGCATGAGAACCTTGCCCCTGGCGAATAGTGGATGATTGTGGTGGTGCCTTTACAGTGAGCACCATAGGTGGTGGCACCGTTCAAGTAATCAAAGGTTTCTGTAATTCTCCTGTGGATGTCAGCCACAGACTATGAGGGAGTTTGACAGCTGTTAACAC